ATCTCGACCCTTCGTTTTTGTTTGATGTCCCGGACGACCACTGCGACCACCCCAAAGCACTGTCGGCACTCGGGGAGTCGTCCGATGATACGTTTTCCAGCGCCATCGCCGACACTCTCACTCCCACCGAACATGCCGACCTGCTGGATCTTCTGCATGAGTTCAGGAGTTCGTTCGATGTGTCGCAACCTCAACTGGGCCGCACATCACAAGTCAAACATCATGTTGACACCGGCCTACACCAGCCACTGCGTCAAAGACCATACCGTGTCTCCGCTGAAGAGCGCCGCGTCATCAACGATCAAGTTGAAGATATGCTTCGTAGAGACGTCATTCGACCATCCCACAGTCCCTGGGCGTCTCCCGTCGTCCTGGTGCGTAAGAAAGACGGATCTATCCGATTTTGCGTGGACTATCGTCGTTTGAATAAGATAACCCGCAAGGACGTCTATCCTTTGCCGCGCATTGATGACGCCATTGACACCCTTCACGGAGCGGAATTTTTCTCGTCGCTAGATTTGCGGTCTGGCTACTGGCAGGTCCCAATGGCAGAAGCCGATTGCCAAAAAAACGGCATTTATTACACCAGACGGACTATATGAATTTAACGTCATGCCCTTTGGGCTTTGTAACGCGCCTGCCACGTTTGAACGTCTTATGGATAATACGCTACGTGGCCTCAAATGGAATATGTGCCTCTGTTACCTCGACGATGTCGTGGTTTTCTCCCACGACTTTCCTACGCACCTCCTTCGCCTCAGGCACGTTTTGAGTTGTCTTACCAACGCTGGTCTGCAGCTTAACCTGAAAAAATGCCGCTTCGCTGCACGCGAGCTCGTCATCCTAGGCCACATCGTGTCCAAGCACGGCGTATTACCAGACCCAGCAAAACTTCGAGCAGTCGCAGAATTTCCCAAGCCGACGACCATGAAAGAACTTCGCAGTTTTGTAGGCCTATGCTCCTATTTCCGGCGCTTTGTTCGAAATTTTGCATCTATCATGTCACCGTTAACACAGCTTCTTCGCGGTGACGTGAACCTCACCTCCTGGTCCCCTGCATGTGACGTTGCCTTCACTACTCTGCGCCGTCTGCTCACTTCCCCACCTATTCTTCGCCACTTCGACCCGACGGCTCCTACCGAAGTGCACACCGACGCCAGCGGCGTCGGGCTAGGCGCGGTCCTCGCTCAACGAAAGCCCGGCTATTCAGAATACGTTGTAGCCTACGCTAGCCGCACTCTGACGAAAGCCGAAACTAATTACAGCGTGACAGAAAAAGAGTGTTTGGCTCTGGTGTGGGCGCTTGGAAAGTTCCGGCCGTACTTATACGGCCGCCCGTTCGATCTAGTAACTGATCACCACGCGCTTTGCTGGCTCTCCACGTTGAAAGACCCTTCTAGCCGCCTTGCGCGATGGGCACTCCGCATCCAGGAGTACGACATTCGCGTCGTATACCGCTGCGGACGCAAACACTCTGACGCTGATGCCCTGTCCCGCTCACCTTTACCACCAGATCAGACGTGCGGAAACACTTGCCTCCAGACCTTGTCATCGCTAAATCTCGACTCGATTGCCACCGAACAACGTCGTGACCCGTGGATCGCCTCTCTTATCGAATATTTATCTGGCACGCCTAACCTTCCAGTATCTCGATCCCTCCGACGTCAAGCTTTCCATTTCGCCATCCGCGATCAACTTCTTCATCGACGCAACTACGCTCCCGATGGCCGCCGGTGGTTGCTGGTCATTCCACGCACTTTACGATCGCAAGTATGCGCCTCCCTTCACGACGATCCACAATGTGGCCACGCCGGAGTGTTCAAAACATATGAACGCCTTCGCCATCGCTATTACTGGCGCGGCATGTACAATTTTGCACGTAAATTCGTGCAGTGCTGTCCTGACTGCCAGCGACGTAAATCAACACTGCCACGTGCGACTGGCGCATTGCAGCCACTTCCATGCCCTGCCAAGCCATTTGATCGCGTCGGCGTTGACCTCTACGGTCCCCTTCCATTGACACCAGATGGTAATCGGTGGATTATAGTGGCGGTTGACCACCTGACACGCTACGCCGAAACAGCCGCTTTGCCGAGCGCTACAGCTCAGGATGTCGCCTCTTTCATTTTGCAACGCTTTATCCTTCGACATGGTGCACCTCGAGAGCTCCTTAGTGACAGAGGCCGCGCTTTCCTTTCCGAGGTCGTCGAAACTCTGCTTTCGGAATGCCACGTTATTCATCGGAAAACGACAGCATACCACCCGCAGACTAACGGACTAACGGAACGGTTCAACCGCACGCTAGGTGATATGCTCTCAATGTACGTGGCATCTGATCATAGCAACTGGGACCGTGTTCTCCCATACGTCACGTTCGCATATAACACCGCAATACAAACCACCACGGGATTCTCACCTTTCTTTCTTCTTTACGGACGTGAGCCTTCCCATACAATTGATACCCTACTTCCTTACCGTCCTGATGCTTCCGAGTGTCCACCTATCTCCGATGCTGCTAGACAAGCCGAAGAGTGCCGCCAGCTCGCCCGTGCGTTCACCTCGGAAGAGCAACAACGCCAGAAAGAAACCCGTAGCACCTCTCTTCCGGATCCCAGCTACGCCTCAGGGTCTCTTGTGTGGCTTGCCATCCCATAGCAAACACCGGGAATCTCCTAGAAACTTGTCCCCCGGTACGAGGGGCCTTACATCGTTTTGGAGAAAACCTCTCCGGTTAATTTCCTAATTGAACCAGTTTCCCGATCGGACGACATGCGCCGGCGTGCACGTGACATCTTCCATGTTTCCCGACTGAAACCGTACCATGAGCCTTTGCCTGAAACTTATTAAGTCGCCAGGATGGCTCCTTTTTCAGCGGGGGCGATTGTGAAGAAGAAGATGTGCCTGCAGCGAGCAGCATCGCCAACGCCCGGCTCTCTCGGCTCGTGCTTCGGTTCGTTGCTGTGCCGATCGCTGGACGGTTCTTCACGCTGTCTCGTCGCTGTCTTTAACGACTAATAAACCTCATCACAATATATATGTATATATATATATATATATATATATATATATATATATATATATTGTACTCGTGATGAGCTTGTGCAAGGGGTTGCTTTTATTTTTACGTTTGCTTTTAAAGCACTGTCACAAGCTTTCGTTTTCATTACCGCTGTATATTGACGCAATCATATCGTGACTGTATTTTATTGAGTATTGCAACTGCAACTTGTTTTTACTGCTGCTCAATTTTTTTTCTGTTATTTCGCAAAGTTGTGTTAATACGCGTGTTTGAGGAACAGTATTGCACTCTATGCCCTTTTCGCCCTATGCCTTTTCCGGAACCTGTGATGTTATAATAATGAACAATACTATTATGCCTTTTAGCAGCACCAGCAGTGGTAAGCTGACAAGTAGTACGTTTGGTGGCAATGATGGTAGCACTTCACACTGCTATACAAATAAACTTCAATGAATGACAGTTCACTACAATTTACGTTAACCGCAGTTGACGGCTGTATTAAGGGATTGTATATATAATGGTAATAAAATAAATAGCCTCCAATGTAATGACGATTGAGCTTTCGGAAACGTTGGGGTCTTTTTGAAAAGTATTTTCATTTCTTGGCGTGGCTTTGAGCTATATTACTTGACTACCACGCACAATTCTTAGCTACGAATCTTTCTGCAACCCTGGCATTTATTTTTTTGCATTCCTCAGGTCAACGCGTCCATTGTCAGTAACTTTTTAATGCATTCACGTTAGAATTCTTAATATCCGCTCTCACCGTTCTTGGTTCAATATGAAATGTCAACTCTGCCATTGTCAGTAACTTTCTAATATGGTCTCGTTGAATTTTAAATGTCTACTTTCACTTTTCATAGCTAGATATGAAACGTCAAACACCTTTGGCGCATACCCGTTTACCATGGCTCGAGGTTTGCGGGTATATGCCACACGTTTCGGGAGGAGAGGGTGTGACGATGTACGCGGTACAATTGTGACTTCGTTATTGATGACATCATCAGTCATATTTATCAAATTGTCTTACCATCCCTTACTAATCTCGGTCTTCCATGTTAAGAAGGCGATCACGAGAACTATGAGATGTAGGCGGCTAGATAGATACTTAAACACGCAGATAGACACTCAAAGTACGACTATATGCAAAAAAAAACGCTTCGCATTCATTATACTCCCATTTATAAAAAACAGGAGAGCGTAACGAGGATGGGGGGGAGTCGTACTAAAATGTAAATGGCAAAATACAAAGTTCCTAAAGACTGTAAATTAAGAAACTACGAAGGAGAAATTAGAATGCCTCGAGAACACTGAAAACAAGAAAATGAAGATGGTGCGACCCTGGTGCTCATAGTATTTAACACACATTTAAATCATCATTTACTGATTGCATCGGTTTGGTAATATTGTGCTTATTGAAGTGTGTATGACACACTTGAATGGAATAAATCAAGGCGGGAAAGATATGCGCAATGCCACAACTTATACGATTGATGATGAACAGGTAGCAGTAAAAGAGCACACATAATTAGAGACGGAAACAAACGTATATGATAACTAATGTGCCACCATGAGGACATATTATCATATATATAAAAAAGCAAGGCAAGTTTTAAACAAAAAAAATAGTGCTCGAAGCTGTACAGTGCTCTGAAAAATAAAATTAGTCTTGTTGAAAACAACAAGACTGATCATCTACCTGAGAGGCCCTAAGAAGTGCCTCACGTTGTAGCATTGATTTTCTCTTATTCATTTTGAATCTTATATGTGCAACGAGTTGATTTTCCTCGTTATTTTGTATTGCGAGTTGTGATGAAAGCATTTGTGCAATACGTGCCTTTTCATGACTGCCACTTTATAAATGAGTGATTTTAAGTACCGCAAAATATTTTTAGATACCAGTGCAAATAAACTTGCAATGAGAAGCTATACATTTTGACCAGCCTGTCAGTGCAAGCAATATAATCAAAACACATTCGGGACCGAATCTTATAACAAGTTTATTTAAGGGTGACATTCTCAACTCTCTTATAGCTAGTTTGTCACTCATGTAACGTTGTATTTTTGCTTGAGCTCAGGATAATTCCTCAAATGCATCGTCACGGTCCTACGGGAAGTGCACTACACTTTTGACAGCAAAGAGGATATGGGGCATTAGCTGCCGGAAAAGGTGCTCCGGGGTGTGGATTGGATCCTCCCGCAAATGGACACCTTTGAATGAAAATAATTTTACTTGATTGATACATGTTGCGTAGCCTAGTTTGAAACTAATATATATCACCATTGTTCACCAATCAACATTACCTTTCTCTAAGTGGGTGGAATTTTTTATAGAATTTGTTTCTGTGAGCGGCCCTGCCCTTCCGTAGGATAGCATTGACCATGTGGTATATTCAGCTAGTTCGCCCGTTCTGTGGAAGTTCGTATGCTATGATACAGTGAGGCAAACAAGTTAGATAGCTCGGGGTTAATGAAGCTTGGCCTCCATAAGCAACTGACTCAGTCTAAAATGAAATCCTTTGTGCAGGCCTATAAATGATTCCAACACCCGAACTTGCCAGGTGCGTGGACGCTGAAGTTCTTTCGGTCTCGAAACTGAACAGCCGCAGCTGTGAACTTGATGTGCTGTTGCTAACTAGCCAGCGCACACAGGCACTGAACTTCATCGTCGTCACCGTTTCTGTCAACCTGCGTGCATCGCCACTAGCGAAGCTCACACCGAGAGCTCGAAGGGCGAGCCAGAAGACAACGCGCTCACAATATTCGCTTGATTGCAGCTTTTCGCTTCGTTGTCACTGCATCTTCCCTTCATCTTCCGCCTTGCGACGAAGTACCGACGCGAATTCGGCAGTGTCTGCCCCTTTCCCATTTTGCCCCCGTTACAGTGATAACTCACGACTTCTTGCCACGCAGGCAGCCTTGTTCTGATCTTCACTTGAAGCCGAGCACTTTTATCAGTTATTTTATTTGCGTCACTGTCCATTTTTTTTTTTTGATGATAAGCAAGATGATCTTTCCCTCACTATTATCGACGCCAATACCGACGCCAGAATTTCTGCGAAAGGAGCTCTTAATGCTATAATGTAAAATCCCCATGTAAAACTCTCTCCATGTATTACTACATTATACTACAAAGCGATGTGCAGTCGTCAGCACATTTACAAGAATGCTCCACGGAGTATTCTGAAATAAGTTGAAGCCGAGTAACTCTTGGCTCTGCGGCCGAGTTTTTACCCAGGAATGCAGACGTACTATCCAAGCATATCAAGGTATTATTTTTGCAACAGCACCCACCACTTTGCTGCTGGCATCAGTGAAAATAGTCATGGTCATGGGTCCGAGCGTTCATGTTAGGGTTACTGACAACTGTACAGATTATATATCTGCTTGAGCCGCTACACTTCGAGAATATATGCTAAAACTGTTCAAATGGTTTTTCTAAAAATTTGCTGTCACTTGTAACAAAACTCCTACTTCACTCATTAACGTTTTTTTATGTTTAGTAGATCAACATAAAAAGCCCCAAGTAAGTATATGTTTGTCGCAAACATGTTTGTTCTTTCTCTCAATGACATTGAAATCACATTTTTTATGTTTAGTCATGGCTAAAATGTTGCATATGAAATCAAAAGTAAATCAAGAACTATATTCATAGAAGGCTGTCATTTTTATATTAGATATGATAACGTTTTGTGGAAGTGACTCTGATTAGTAAAGTTATCAAATTTTTTTGCATTACAAAAATATTTTCCTACTAGCAAAGTTTGAAGCGTCCTCTTGACATCACAATTTATTATCGGAAAAAAAGAGAGAAAGACTCACTCAGGCATTATTTGTCCCTTTCACATATAACAGCACAATGTTTACAGCGTGGTTAGATCTAATTGGGAGAAGACTAGGAATACTTGATAGAAGAGGTACGCACAAGGGGTAAAATGCCCTTAACCTAAAAAACTTACCCGTTCACTTGAAGTGTGGTTCCATCATTACTGCACGTAGCTCTTACACATGGCCTTCGAAGGTGCATAGTGATACCTCGAATAATAAAATAGCCATTGTACCAGCAGCCCGCTGTTAAGGAAAAAAAGAAAAGACACAACAACAGATTAGATGTTGTTTAGTGCGCTAAGCCACATGGGTAATTATTAGGGGTTGCATGGTACGAGACGTTATTGGATGTGAACATCCTTGACAAAGACTGCCTTGTTTAGGTGAAAGCCTTCTATAGGCGCAATCACTATAAGCCCTCTTTACAATGCTCAATGCATAAAAAAGGGGTGGGCAAAGAGGAACAAAGCTGTGTGACGATAATTCGCCAGAAACAAACTAAGATTTGATAAGATCGCGGAAACGGAATAAAGGTTGGTAACAATGTACAACTCGGTTTCATGAAAAGCATTCAGTAAGTTCAAAGCAGGTAATTCTTATGAGGTTCTCCAGTTAGTTTCTCTGACACTTTAAGACCTACTGCTTCAGTGTGCTAACAAAGCTAACCAAATAGACTTTTTTAATGAACATGACTAACACCTTATGGTGATGCCTTCGGAGAAAAACCAATGCTTTCACGTAATACTATTTTTTAGCAATACCTACCTACTACCAATGCGTTTCCGGTAACTAGTTACTTTTTTCAGCAACTTGTACTTGTAACATACTCGAAATCAATACTCTTGCTTACAGAATTTTTTCGCCACAGCTGTACTAGTTAAGTTAGAGTTAGAGGAACTTGTAACTGCAACACTGTCATCTTTGACACAGCAACTGTAACAAACAAATTGCATTTGCTAATATTGTGTTTATTATAAAAGGTTAGATATTTTACATTTATAAAACTTTCATCTTTATCATATCATTCCCACCTCAGTACTTGCAGCAATAAGGTTCACCTCGCGTTGGAGGGGAGGTCGCTTAGAGGAATATCTTCAGTGCAGAAAACCGTAATTAGAGTTCACTTGTAAGCTGTACGTGCAATTGTACAGCTTCCTCAGTTTACATGTTCTTTTTTTTTACTAGGAAGGGGGAGAAAGGGTGGGTACAAGTATTTTATTTGGTCACTTGAACTTCTCTGTCTACTTGGTGGATGCTCTGAGCTCATTGAATTCAACAGGAGGAAAAAAAACAAACAAAGAACAAAAGTGCGAAACAGTCCAAACTGAACTATGAACGTTCACTTGCAAATACCTCTTTTAAAACTTCTTTGTAACTGACTTTCATTGATCTGCTTCAACTGAACGCAAGAATTATTAACAAATTGGCAAAGGTTTCACCTCCAGTGAATTTGGCATACATAGTACACGCAGGCAAAAAAAGAAAAAAAACGAGTAAGTATTAATCAGTGCATCAGCCACATGTGAACTTGAAAATATTTCCATATCAATTCTACTCGTGAGGCAACGTTGTTTAGGCAAAATCCTTGCCCTGACCAGCAGGGTTCAACAAGCTCCGTCTAAAAACACGTTACATAGTTTATTTTAGCAACATTTCCTTTACAGATCCGTTGCTGCCCGTTGTGCCGATATTATTATGTGGCTTAGCAATCCTCGCATATACTTGTAGATGATTCCACACTGATTGCCGCAGGTGTGTGGCCTTAGGGGTTCCCGAACACGTCTCCCAACCTGTTCATATACTCAGCGTACGCGAAACTCTTCAAACAGGGTCTTGTTGAAGAAGATACGCAAAGGATGCCAATGGTGAATAGGTGGTATCATTAGTTGTGCACTTTCTATTTCATTTCGTACGTTTTTATTAGATTATTCCATCAATTGGTGTATAATTCACGTCTTTTATGCGGTAACGCAATTGTTAAGACGTTCCTTTATTTCTGAAAGTAACTAGTTGCAGTTACCGTCAAAATCGTGATAACTGTTGGTGAAACGGAGTTACTTTTGTGCTTCGCGTGACTGTACCTTTCACACTGCTGCGTTTTACTGCTAACTTGTATATGGCTGCACAATACCTTTAGTAATAGGTACACAATGGTATGACTTAAGACGTTACCTATAATGCCGTCAAAAGGGTAGCTAGACTGGTACACGCGGGCACGTGTTAAAGCACAGACGTCACTTTCCGAGGAAAGGAGAGTCGGAATTGTTCATTGGCATGTTCGAGCATAGAAGGCCAACGCTGTATTATGGTAGAGCAGCGCTGGATGGGAAGCGTGCTGAACAATGGCGCCTGGGGGGTGGTCGCCACATAACCCAGCCGCTGGAACCGATGCATGGCTGCTTTGTACCGCGGTGAGCACACGCGCCCTAGCTGTTTGCGTAGTTGTCTTTGCCACAAGCAGCTAGAGTAGTTATTGCGCTGTAAACTGCGCTATAATTCAGATATAGAAAGTGTAATTTGAGTGAAACTCACTAAAAAACGAAGAAAGGCTCCGCAAGCTGGTATGCATAGGCGGTACTCTGCTGTGGTGGCCACTCCGTACCGCATAAATGGCGTGCTTGTCACTTCCAATTAAAACAGACAAAAAATACGCAAGAAGGGCCGCTTCCATAATTGTCTTAGGCTTTCGCAGTCCGTGGTATGTGTGTACGAGGACGTTGATCAAGCAAATTGTTTTGGTAGCACAGCTTGTATGGTGTCGCGCAGCTACGCCCCAGAGTACAGGGTCCGGTGACGGTGGCCACATTGAGACAGAACAAAATAGAGAGAAAAATGTCCGGGCACGGATATTTATATTCACAGTATTCGCAATTCCAGAAGGTTCTTTATGTGCTGGCAACATTAGTGAAAAAACAAAGATGGCCAAGCCTAACAGGGTCAACGCAGCATTTTCGCTTTGCGCTGTGCTGAATTTTCTTTATTGTGGCGTCGGATCGCATTGCTTTGTCGAAGATGAAAAAGTGCTAGGCGCGGACTGCCTCATTCTCATCGGCATAAAATCTTTCACTGGCGGACAAGCTGGAATAGTTGTGCTGTGCACGAAGACATTGAGCCTCTTCGGCAAAGCCCATCAGATTTACTTAAAGCTGAAGAACTTGTCTACTGAGCAGGAGGTCGAAGAAGGCAACTGCTCGTGTGTAGCGCGTCTCTCCAAACGGTGCCAGCACTTTTGCATTTCGTAACTACACTGCTTTAGGCGAGAAATTGAACAGTTTTCGCGATAACTACACTTTGATTTGCGCTGCCGATTGCGTGAATTCAATTGATCTCCGTTTCCCCGCAATGAGCTGAATACGCATGCCAGTGACTTGATTACAGAAAGTAGCTATGCTTGGGCCAGTGCATGTTGAGATAATGCAAATCGTAGTTTTGACTATAACAGGAGTGCTCTTTTCTTTTAGTTCGACAATCATTGTTATTATATATTCAATAATTAAGGTCGTGTGCTTTCGCATACTTGCTTTTTGGCGTTGGCAAAATACCTTTCATTCCAAGCAGATATGTGCGCGCGCACTACACACACTACGGATGCAAGGACATGATATAAACAAAGGCACGAACATATATATACCCACGCTACGCACGTACAAACTTCGCATGCACGTGTGTGTGTGCGTGTGTACACACATGCGAAATCAACAATATTTGGGCGGGAGGGTTCCAGCAGCTTAATTTGAGAATGTGTGGCACCATACGACTTGCGCAGAAAACAAGCACATGCGAAGGATAGTCACGTGACGTATCGAATTTTCTTAAAGCACTTCCTTGTGCAAACAAAACTATACTCAGTGCTTAGAGATGGCCAAAAATTGATAAGGTTGCCCTCAGGCTAAGTAACGGTGCCCTCAAATAGGAGAATTAAATCATCGTGAGTTATTTGATTTAAAAACAAACTATCGTACAGTGTCCGTCACCTTCTTTCCAAGACGAAAATGCGGTAGGCCTGTGTGTTCATATCTGTGCGCACGGTAAAGAACCCGGGATGGTCGAAACTTCTGGAACCCTCCACTACGGCGTCTCTCATATACATACGGCTGTTTTGATACGTTAAACCCTAGAGATTATTACCTTCTTTTCAATGCGTAAGTTTTTGATTTGCGCCGTTTTTCCGCGGGCATCGTCTACATCCTTCGGGAAGTGATAGAACGACATGTTCATTTTCATCTTTACACCACTATACACCGCATTACCGCCTACACCGGTCAATGGTCTTTGGACATCTTTTTATTATTTTGTTAAGAATTGCGCTGGTGGCATCGAAAAAGTAAAGGAACCGTGTGGCCGCTTCTGAACGCATGCAACAAGATACAATATCTTCTTTCAAGGTTCACTGTGTTAGCGCCGTTATCAGACTCGGCCGCTAAGTGGCGAGTGCTCACTTGGAGTAGAGAGTAGATAGCCAAGTGGTTCAAGAACACTCACGCAAAAATTTATTGTGATAGCAATTACATGTGCACTCCCGGCTGAATTTTGCCGCCGGCGTCGGCGTTGACGTCACCGTCAATGTGGCTCACGTATATGCACACCCATCTATATATATGAAAATGCAAGAAAACATCTTTGGTGCGCAGAACTAAAGTTGGACCCTCTTAATCGTAAGTGCGAGGCGTTAACCACTGACCCATCGAGAAGCACATTCACACAATTGGCAAGCTATTTATACCTAGCACTTACAGCTGCTGACGGGTATCTCGGGGGGAATCATTGTGTTTTCAGCATTACCAGCAAGATGGCGCAATACGCGCACGTCGCCACATCGCGTGGTGGTGCGCGCTCTAATCTTGCACGCGTACTTTGCCCCGCTTGGAGAAGAGGAGCGACAATCCCTCGCGTGCCCTCATATCTTGGTGGGGAGGATGGCACCCTTATACGTCTTGGTTACCCTCGGGCTTTACCTAGAACAATTCTGTTGTAGCTGCCAGGCACACAAAGGTCACAGCAACCATTGAAGTCTCTGTTTGCAAAAAGCGCGCGCTTTTCCTACACGATGAATTAGCACCGGAGACCCTTATTGGCGTGCTTCTGTACACGTGAGTACGTTTCGTGTGTCAATGGTGCGTGAGAAACGCGGGGCACGTTTCGATCAGCTTTGCATTTTGCAGGTGACCTTAAAATTTGTTGTTATTGCGTTAACTTCTTCACCTTTGCGGCAAAGCTGTGCCGTTTTGTTTTCATATTAGAGA